TAGAAATCCCTTTAAAAATTATACAAAAAATAATAATAGGAACAAAGATATATGTATACAACAAGTTCTGCAGCTTACAAGGGGCGTATTAATCGTAAGGCTGTTTTTATAATTCACTACTGTTTTGTTTTAAAGTAAATTCAAGTAAGTTCTTAGGTCTTTATAAATTATTAAATAATACAAGTCAAGCGACAAGCGAACCTTAAAATGATTAAATTTTTTTACAATTTCTGTACAATTTGCTTATTGTGAGATAAAAAATAAAACACACAAGTTAATGACTAAACTTTTTGCTGAATCTGTGAAAATTCGCACAAGTCAGCGCCGCATAATCTTTTCTCAAGAGCAAGGCAGCTCGATGATCTTCGCTTTTCTTTCACTCTTTCTGTTGTTCTTGTTGGTATAATTTTTTATGTATTATTATTTTTATTATTATAATATTTAATTCATTGGACTTTCGGAGCATGTGTGTGAAGTCAGTTATCATCGTTGGGTGCTATCGCTTCCGGGTTGGAATCAAAATCGAAACGCCAGAGAACAAGAGCAAAGAGTGATGCGTTCTATATAGACGTGTGTGCGTGTTTGGCATTAATTCCACCGATTTCTGGCCACAAAAAAAATATATATAATGAAATAAAAAATGGAACCGAAATCGGTTAAAATTAGCCATGCAGCCCTGGCAAGTGCAATTCCCATGTTAATCGCAATGACGACCCCCTGGCAACGTTTAAGCTGCGCTTTTTTATTTTCTTCAGTGTTTTTTTTTTGTTGTGTCGGGTTAACCCCGTTAGCAGTTTTATTTTTTATTTTTTTCACCAGAGTCAGCAGCTCTTTAAATTCATTGTGTGTTGTGTGTTTTCGATTTTATTTTAATTAAAATTATGTCAACGCAATTGAAATGTTATTGAACCAGCACGAACGGGACGACGGACGACGGACGATGAGGCTTGCCAAATCGAGGAACGAGTTCATTAATTTGGATTTTGTAACTTTTATTCAATGTGCGGTAACAATAAATGTGCAATATAAATATATATGTATATATATATTTTTGCACATCCCAACATTTCAGAGTTGCCATAATTTATGGCCATTTTTGTGATAAAGGAATCTCGAAAGAAAATTAAGAATTAAAATGATATTAATACGAGTGAAGTGAAACAGGGCAATACTCTCTCTTTGTTGGAGAGTGTATTTTAATTATTGAAATTACTATAAGAAAAATATAATTAATATGCTTACTAAATTATAAATTCAATTATGAAAATTTGTATGAAAATCGGCATACTATATTATATAACTGCCAGAGAAATTTAGATAAATGTAGAGGATCAGTAAGTATCAATGAACATTACATAACTATGATCAGTAATTAAGTATGAGCAATAAGTAACTATGATCAGTAGATAACTATGACCAGTAAATAAGTCTGAACATTAAGTTACTATGATCAGGGAGTAACTATGAGCAGTAAGTAACTCAGAACATTAAGTATCTATGATAAGTAATTAACCATGATCAGTAAGTATCCATTACCAGTAAGTATGTATGTACGATAAGTTAGTAACTTTGAACACTAATAAACAATGACTTGCAACTTTTGTATCACAACACATGTCTGAGCCTAGGTCAGCAGCAGTCACTTCGTTCCGGGGAGGTTAGAACTAGTTGGGAATCATATGCACAGATGTGCGAGATTTGTTTTGGAACAAATTTAAGCTATTTGGATGAAACTATGGAGTTAATCTTCCATATAATTTTATTAGTATATAAATCGGAACATGGCGAATCGGCGGACTATATATATATATATATATATATATATACATATATAAACCTGCCATAGGAACAATCGGACAACCTATAGAACTATGATCAGTAATTAACTAAGATCAGTAAGTATCTATGACCAGTAAGTAACTCTGAACATGAAGTATCTATGATCAGTGAGTAACTATGAGCAGTAAATAACTCAGAACATTAAGTATCTATGATAAGTAATTAACCATGATCAGTAAGTATCCATTACCAGTAAGTATGTATGTACGATAAGTTAGTAACTTTGAACACTAATAAACAATGACTTGCAACTTTTGTATCACAACACATGTCTGAGCCTAGGTCAGCAGCAGTCACTTCGTTCCGGGGAGGTTAGAACTAGTTGGGAATCATATGCACAGATGTGCGAGATTTGTTTTGGAACAAATTTAAGCTATTTGAATGAAACTATGGAGTTATTGTTTTATATAATTTTACTAATATACAAGTCGGAGCAGGGCGAATCGGCGGACTATATATATATATATATAGCTGTCATAGGAACAATCGGACAACCTATAGAACTATGATCAGTAATTAACTATGACCAGTAATTAACTAAGATCAGTAAGTATCTATGACCAGTAAGTAACTCTGAACATGAAGTATCTATGATCAGTGAGTAACTATGAGCAGTAAATAACTCTAAACAGTAAATATCTATGACTAGTAAGTAACTATGATCAGTAAGTATCTGTAGCTAGTAAGTATGTACAAATGTATGATTAGTTACTAACTTTGAACACTAATAAACAATGACTTGCAACTTTTGTAACACAACACATATCTGAGACGTGGCCGGCAGCAGTCACTTCGTTCCGGGGAGGTTAGAACTAGTTGGGAATCATATGCACAGATGTGCGAGATTTGTTTTGGAACAAATTTAAGCTATTTGAATGAAACTATGGAGTTATTGTTTTATATAATTTTACTAATATACAAGTCGGAGCAGGGCGAATCGGCGGACTATATATATATATATATATATAGCTGCCATAGGAACAATCGGACAGCCTATAGAACTATGATCAGTAATTAACTATGACCAGTAATTAACTAAGATCAGTAAGTATCTATGACCAGTAAGTAACTCTGAACATGAAGTATCTATGATCAGTGAGTAACTATGAGCAGTAAATAACTCTAAACAGTAAATATCTATGACTAGTAAGTAACTATGATCAGTAAGTATCTGTAGCTAGTAAGTATGTACAAATGTATGATTAGTTACTAACTTTGAACACTAATAAACAATGACTTGCAACTTTTGTAACACAACACATATCTGAGACGTGGCCGGCAGCAGTCACTTCGTTCCGGGGAGGTTAGAACTAGTTGGGAATCATATGCACAGATGTGCGAGATTTGTTTTGGAACAAATTTAAGCTATTTGAATGAAACTATGGAGTTATTGTTTTATATAATTTTACTAATATACAAGTCGGAGCAGGGCGAATCGGCGGACTATATATATATATATATAGCTGTCATAGGAACAATCGGACAACCTATAGAACTATGATCAGTAATTAACTATGACCAGTAATTAACTAAGATCAGTAAGTATCTATGACCAGTAAGTAACTCTGAACATGAAGTATCTATGATCAGTGAGTAACTATGAGCAGTAAATAACTCTAAACAGTAAATATCTATGACTAGTAAGTAACTATGATCAGTAAGTATCTGTAGCTAGTAAGTATGTACAAATGTATGATTAGTTACTAACTTTGAACACTAATAAACAATGACTTGCAACTTTTGTAACACAACACATATCTGAGACGTGGCCGGCAGCAGTCACTTCGTTCCGGGGAGGTTAGAACTAGTTGGGAATCATATGCAGAGATGCGCAAGATATGTTTTGGAACAAATTTAAGCTATTTAAACGAAACTATGGAGTTATTCTTCTATATAATTTTACTAGTATATAAATCGGAGCATGGCAAATCGGTGGACTATATATATACATATATATATATCTGCCATAGGAACGATCGGAAAACTTTAAGAAAAAAAATTATAACTTTTTCAGTTTTCAACAGATTTTTATCAAATTTAATATATAGCCATTATATATTAATCTAGAATTTTGTGTACAATTTTATAAAAATCTGAATACTATATCATATAATATAGCTGCCATAAAAACGCTCGTTAAAAATAATCGTTTTCTTTCTTTCTAAATAAATACAAATAAAATTGAAAATAAATAAATGCACTCATAGAAATATTATCCCTTTATTCCCAATTGAAATTCAACAATTCAAAATATTGCAATAAATAAATCGGAGCAAATGTTAACCATTCACAGTTATCGACTCTTAATCGGGTCGGAAGTGCTCCTCTTTCTCTGTTCCTCTCTCTCTCTCCCCGCTAAATATAAAATACCCCCAAAATAAGAAATAATAAAAATAAAAAAACAAAAACAATCCCATTAATACCCATACACACCAGAGAGAAGCCAGAGAAGCCGTGTTTTACAACAAAATGTGCCATAAAAATGCACTTTCAGCAGCAATGGCAATAAGCAAGCGTAAACAGTTGTGTTTAATCAACTAAAACAGAGGGGAAAACACAGGGGGTGTGGGGGAGGAAAATGAAGGAAAACGAGAAAACAAGAAAAACGAGAAGGAAAAGTGCGAAAATGAGAAAAAGCGAAACGGAAGAGTGGGGTGTTTGGGTGTAAAAACTTGTCAACGCCCCCGCGAAATTGTTCCCTTTATTATTTTTTTTTCGCAAATTTATGGCATGAAATTTATCAGCTGCGAAATATTCAAGGAAAATTGATGGAAAATCAGACAGCTTTTCAAATACACTACGATAATTTATGAGTTTTATATCACTTATATATTTATTTATAAAATATTAAAAGGATTAAGAGGAAGTTGAACTACAAATGTAGAATGAATTCATTTAATAAATTTAATATAAAATAACTCATTAAATAAGAGTTACAAGTTTAGATATAAATATTTTAAATTGCTGACAACTATATTTAATTTTTAATATTTTTTTTTTAATATTTTTTGAGCCATAAAAATGAGTAATACTCTACTTTAACTAAGAGTATTTTGCACTTCCTATCTATGAATTGACCCGAAACAAAAGGTTGAACTCACTGCACTATATCCCTTTTAGCATATATATATTTATATATATAAAAAAACATCGGTACTCACCCCAAATCAGGCCACATAAAGCCAAATGATATATATTATATAGGCAACAAAATGCAGTGGCAAAAAAATGCTTTCCAATCGCCGGCGACAATCTGCAGAACAGGATGTACAAGGCTCTTTCCTTTTGGTTGAATTTTCAGGTGGTTTTTCTGTGTGGCTTTTTCTTCTTTTGGGTAAATTCTGAAAGAGGGAAAAAAACCACAAGTGCGATAAATAAAATGGAATAAACCAAAGAAAAATAATAACACACTATAATAATAATAGGAGACCACAACGGAAATTCGGGAATATCGCTTGCCAAATGGCGCACTAAACAAATCGCGACCTTGACTATAAATTCCATGGATTTTAGTTTAGTTTCTTTTTGTATGCCTTTTTTTTGTTTCGAAAAATGTTCACAACATCCGGGAGAAACGATAAGCAATTTATATTTATTTCATTTCGTTATTATTCATTCACAAGAGAACTAGTCTTTGCCAGAGGAAAGTTTAAGTAATAATTCTGGGAAATTTCTAATGCTTCAAAAGATATTTCTTTTAAGTAAATTTAAAAAACAAATTGATATATATTTTATAATTTTTTGTAAATGATTTTTAATAACAAAATGTTTGTATTAACTCATTGTATATTTTTTATAATAAGAAGACAGCCTAGAAAATAAATAAATATTATTTAGAGAGCTCGTTTTGAGGCTAAAAAAAATGCAGGGAAATCCTTATTCTTGTGGAGAAATATGTAGTAATAATTATAATATATTTTACATCGATTTTAAAGCATTTTTAATATGAAAATGTATATTTATTTTATAAATATATGAAACAGCAACCTTAAATTCCTATTAAATATTTAATAAATAATATTTAGACAGCTTGTTTGAGACTTTAATATATATCAAAGGTCTTCAAAAAAAAGGCAAAACTTAATTAACAAATCACACACTCAATTTCAAGGCTAAGTCCCCTTAAAACATTAAATTAAATCTCAATTAAAAAGGGTTTTTTAGACAGTAAAAACATAAAGATGTATAAAGAGATATTAACAACTTAATTATACTAAAGTCTATGGAAAAGTAGAGACTCTTGTTGGATCCAACTTAAATTCGAATTAATTGATTTAGACATTTCGGTGGCATGAAAGCACACCCTGGGGGGGAAATCCTCCTAAAACTCATCGTTTTCATTTTCGCTTTTCTATGTTCTCTGTTCTCTATTATTGTTTTCCCCCTTTTCTCTTTATTTTTATTTTTTTTTTGTTCTGCATTCGGTTTTCCCCAATGTTCTATTCCTACGCCTTGTTGTTTGAAACATTTCAGTGTTACAAATCCAGTTATTTGTTGAATTTGACAGTTTAATTCTACGCCTCGATGAGCGAACGAACCCCAATCAACCTCCATCCTTAACCCCCCGTCGGCGCGAAGCTTTAACCCTCACGCAATGCCATGTGTCTATTTCAATCCCAGACACATCAGATGTATCTGATAGCATGCTTTGCTGCTTTGCTGCCGCTGCTGATTTGAAAATCAAACAACATTTGACATTTCGATTTTCGAGAAGCACATTTTTTCCCATTCAGCTTTCCCAAGTACGGATATTGTGTATCCTACAGATACAGGAAAAGAAAATGTATCTTTATCCTAATCTTTGCTTATATTTTGTATATTTTATAAAGACACAGTTAGCTTTAATTTTATGTACTACTTCTCTCTTCAAAATGAAAACTTTTAAATATTTTTATATTTAATATTTATAACCTTGATGGGGTATTATAATTATAGTCACAAAAAAACCAAGTGAAGAAGTCATTTCCGACCCTATAAACCATATATATTCTTGATCAGCATCAACAGGGGAATCTTTCTAGCTATCTATGGCAAAAAAGGAAATTTTCAAAAATTTTAAATTGTTTTCAATAAATGAAAAATGTTCAAAAAATGGCAAAAATTTAAGTTTTTTATTAGCCTGCTAAAAACTAACATAGGACAGCTTTCCGAATTGAAATTAATGCATTTTTGACAAAGTTATGAGATTTTTAAAACCTTGATTTTGGTTACTTTTTCTCTTTTCTATTTAAGACTATAAAGAACTCTTGTATTTAATATATCCCTTTGATATCTTGTTCCCAAATGTGTCATAATATTTTCGCTCAGTGTACATGACAGCTTCCCAGCACAACTAATAAATGGCTTATATAAGCGGGCTACCAATAAATGAACACAAAATTTGCATTGAGGCACGAAAAATGTTCTATGTCGCCGAGACTAGACATTCAAGTTCGTGTTTTTGCTAATGAAACTCTAAAGGCGCTGCTGCTGCGGGGGCGTGGCAGGGCTAGGGCCTCGGAACCCAGATCCCAGACTACAGATCCCAGTCTCCGGGTGAAAACTTGTCCGGCAAGCAAATCAAGAAAGCCAGAAAGCGAGAAGAGCAAATCAAGGCAGTTAAAACCAACAAAAAAACGAAAGAAATTAAACCGTCGAGTGAGAAGTGCCAAAAAAACAAGTTTAAATGTCAAAAATGTAACTGAGAAAACAACAACAACAACAACAAAGAAATGTAATGAAAACAGAAACAAAAAAATGTACAAAAATAAAGAGAAATAATATAAGAAAAATAAGGTAAAAAAAAAATATAATGAAAAACCCGGCTGCAATTATTGCAAGTTGCTGTGGCGCCGCCAAGAAATCAAATTAGCGCCTGTTGCAATCGCGTTGCTTGTTATTAATTTTTATGTGAACTTCTTGGTTTTTTTTTGTAAGCTTAAATTAAATGCAAAATGTTGTTGTTTCTGTTACTTGTTTTCTTCCCCCATCATCATCTTCTTCTGGCAATAAAACAACTGCAATAACAACCAAACGAACGACGACGACAATCGCAACGAGTTTGTTGGCGACAAAGACATATAAATGATTATCATTATAAGTCTGTTAAAATTTATGAACAATGAAAACTTCAACGACCACAAAAATTCCCAAGTCTATATAGAAGGGGGAAGGTAAAGGGGTACTCAGGGCAATTGTGGCTAAAATTAAGATGACGACAATCAAAATTTGCATTCAGATACTAAAAAGCCATGTGATTGAACGGGGAGGGGATTTTTTATGAAGCGAAATTATATTATTGATGATCTACGAACATCTATATAAAGATAATAATCTCGGATGGCTACAAAAACACACAGAACTTGCTTTAACTTTAACTTATAAATATAGATATTAAATCTTTTCTCTTGGGTTTAATTTTTCCCTTTAAAAATCTTTGTAAAATACGTTTTATCGTGGCTCTTGACTTCTGTCAAATTGCAAAATAGATTTCCCAAACAAGAACGGCGACCAAGACACGATTAAAGCTCAATTAATTTCGCCTGACAATGACAGGGGGCACAGGCAGCCTTCATCATCAACATTTTCATCATCATCATCATCAGCTGGCTGTCATCATCGTCACTGTCATCGTTCTCTGTATCTATAAAGTATAGCCTATAGCCTGTATAGTCTATAGAATAAACCGATGTCAGGGACAATCAAAAATACAAAGCCTGAGAGGGAACTTGACTATAAAATATTTAAGCTGTGGGTTATAGAAAAATCTTTAAATAAAGAATGCGAATATTAATAAAATAAAATATTTCAGTCATTAGCTTAAAAGTAAGTGCAGGAGTCGTTTCCGACCCCATAAACCATATATATTCTTGATCAGCATCAATAGGTGAATCTTTCTATGCATCCAGGGAAGAAAAAAAATTTGGATAATTTTTTTCCAAATTTTTAACAGGTTTTTACATTATTGACATTTTGAAATTTTGACAAAAATTTTAATATTTTAAAAATTAAATTTAGGTATGCAGATTTATTAACCTATTAAAAACTAGCACAGAACAGCTTTCCGAATTGAAATTAATGCATTTTTGGCCTAGTTAAACCATTTTTAAACTTTGATTGGTTAAAGAAAGTGTTTCATATAAAAAAAAAGATTGCCCAAAATTTGAACTAATATTTTTCTAGAGACAATTTGTCTTAATTTATTTAAGAACTTTCTGTCACTCCAATTGAAAACCTATTTAAATATTCCTTTGTTTTTTTTTAATTTTAACTGTCACATAACCTTCCTTATTAAAGATATTGTATTTCCTACAGTTAGAGTGTTAAACAAGGTATTATTTTAACCTATATAAGCTGCCAAAAATATTTCAAAAATAATTCCCTGCAAGGGTATAATAAAATCTAGACATGTTTTTAGGAAACTTAAAAACTGGCAGAATCTTATTATAATTATAAACAAATAATTATAACTATCAGTAGCAGTAAAGTCATATTAAACAATCTGTTTATAAATTTGTATATATGCCACCTCTAAAATCTGATGGAAACTATTGGAAAACCTTAGGCCAGGTTATCCCCTTTTAGAACTCGGAAATATTACAAATAAATAAATCAATAACTTAATAAAAATTAGATAGAGAGGAAGCTTCTTCTTTTCTTGAATTAAATTTGTTCCAAACACTTTTCAAAACCACTCTTTTTTTTGTTCTTCTTAAACTGATTTGCGTTTTCAATTTCGATTAGACAAAGTCCAACTCCTCTTCACCGTCGTCGTGGCTTTTTTTGTTTTCGATCCCCTCTATTTTTTTTATTTTCATTTGCTCTTCGTTTGGTTCCTTAAAGTCAATAAACTTTCTATGGCTGAGCTTATCAATGTTGTTGCTGCCGCAAAAGTTGCTGCTTTTGCTGCTGCTGCTGCCGTGTATCCGCCAGCAACATGTTGCAGCTGGGAAAATGAAACAACTGCCTCTCGCTCTCGCTCATTAGCCCAGCACAGATTTTTAGGTTTTGCCACTGGGAGAAAAAGTTTGCAAAAGTATTTTTTGGGGAGAAATATATAGCTATAATATGATATATAAACAATAAAATTATTAAAGCTATAATATACTATACAATATAAATAATTATTAAAGCTATAATATATAATATATAAAATATATAATTATTAAAGCTATAATATAATATAAAAGATATATTTATTCAAGCTATAATATAATATAAAATATATATTTATTAAGGCTATAAAATTAAATGTTTTCATCACATAATCTATTATTTTAGACGGCGAAACACAAGCAATTTTTGAAGGTTCTTTTAACAACAGAAATGTGACGAATAAGCAATTGTTAATTTTATTTTTTTT